GGGGGTCGGGACCCTTTAAGCACAGTCCTCGGCTAGCCTGAGACAGCATCTCCACGCTCTAAGTCCTCTTCTGATGCCCTGCCGGCACTGCTTCCGGCCATCCTTAACCCCGGTTCAGGGTCCACTTAATGTGGACATGCTAGTTCGAATTAGCAAAACGCTAATTCGAACTAGTTTTTTAGTCTGGATCCGTTAGTTCAAATTAGCTTAGTTCGAATTAACTAATTCGAACTAAGTTAGTTCGAATTAGCGCTGTAGTGTAGACATACCCCCAAAGACGTTGGCCATCAAACTGTGCCAGACCTGCCATAGGTCTTTTCATGACAACAATGGAAATTCAGCTTTGGCTAATGCTTGAGAGAGATTCCCATCTTCCATTTGTAAGCTCTGCTAAAAAATTGAGGGAGCTTTCTCTTCTGTTGGTTATGTAGGATCCTAGGCAGCACCTGTTCATTGGATTTGGTTGCTCAGAGAGCTTAGTAATAAGCAAAGATCCTGATGACCCTTTAAAACCATCCAGATCTTCAAAAATGGAATAAGAGAAGGAAAAAGTCACCCTCTCAGTCCAGTTCTCACAGGACATGACATCCTTCCACAGGTACCACTGAGATACTTACATTCCCTGGTACTAACACACCAGCTAAAACCATGCCTCAGCCAAGAAGCCAGCCAGTTTTAAAACAAAACAAAACATCAGAGCAATGTCAGCATTGTCACTAGTCTTCATGCCTTGAAAAACAAGAACTCTAAAACCAAGCCATAATCGTCTTTGGTACTGTCTTCTATAGTCAGCTGAGTACTATGTCAGGTGTCACCCAGCATACTGACTCCTGAGGCCGCTATCCAAATAGCAATTTTCCATAAGGATCTTTGAATCCCTGAAGAACTTGAGTCACTGAGGGGTGCTTACTGAAATTAGTGGATCCTTATGATGACCAGCTGTACAGAGTCCCAAGAGGGTATGCCAGGAACAACTGGCATCCTCTGGTCCTGCACCACAGGTGGATCTTACAGAGAAGCCAGAGTCAGCTGTGGAAGAATAATACCACTTTCCCATAAATCTTCCTTTTCTCCAGATAAGGATATTGTCTCCTCTGACTGTCTTATATCTTCTTATTGCTACTTTGCTCTCTGGACCTCCGTCTCAATAGGGAAAAGTCTATACTCACATCCATACAATATATTGATTCCATCAGGGTCACTCTGAACTCCACAATCACCAGAACATCCTTGTGGTTGGACAAGCTCGCCATCAAGTGCAGTCTTGTTTTAGTAATAAAGCAGAGTTCACAAATCACAGCAAGGGCTTTCTATAACTTCTGGGCCACATGGCAAAGTACATATTTTACATCTATAGCAAACATCCTTGCATGCACAAGTTCAAACTTGGCTTACCCCCTCAAGTATAATTTGTCCAACCAGATATCCATATCTCTTAGGATCCTCAAGTTCTCTAAATTAGCAGGAAGATCCATAACAAGGTGTATGTTTGGAACTCACTTTCTCACAGCCTCCTTCCACAAGTATATTTGAGTGAATTTGTCTTTCTGCCTATTTGTTTGGAACTCCTCCTAAATGGAAAGAGCTAGAACCACCAAGTTTGGTATGCAACTTCCTCTTATCGTAACTTAAAGCAACGTGTGGATTTGGTTGTGCCAGGAAAATAGGACAGAATAACCAGGCAAGTGAAAGGAGTTGGCTTAGGGGTTCACTGCCCTTTCCGCCCCCATCTGGGACTGTCCCAGTGTCAAGCCTCCCACCCCCCCAGACACCCTGTAGTGAAGGGAAAGTGCTGCATTCTTCACTCTGGCTGGGAAGTGAAAGGTGCATATGGACCTGGACTTGCCCCAACCAGGGGACATGCAACCATCTCCTGGCTGTGCTGCAACAACCACAGAGAGGTGCTTCTCTCCTAGAGTCACGCTTTTGTGGTGAGAGAGGGCTGGAGTAGTCCTCTTTCCGTAGTGCAGCCTACATACTGACTTCCTCCTCCATGGCCCCACCCCAGAGCAATGATTCAAATGATGCATGTACATCTTCATTTTGTTTTCCAAAAAAAACCCCAAAATTAATTGACTCGAGGGCCTGAACAACACCAGGCAAATCTTCTAGTTAAGAATTTAAAAAATCCATGGGCCAGAGGGTGATTTTAGACATTAATCCCATGTGATGTGCAATGTAGAGAGCTGAGCCAACAGATCCCTGCTGTTCTCAGATGCATTTCAAATGGTTTTGTGGGGATTTAGCCATTTGAACTAAACTGCATAAGTCTCGCTTGAAAATGTAAGTGCTTATCACCTTTCTGCCAAGCTGAAAACACCCATCATTGCCCACTTCAGTTGTCACTCTTTTTTATATTTACAAGGGTTTGTTTACTTAAGCAGTAAGTGCACATCTAGCTGGGGTGTAAAGCTACATCACTCTAACACTCTGGGCAGTAACCATCCATTAGGACCCTGCTGCCTAATAATGAACATTCCCTAGTGCTCTCTTAGATCCTGGCTCTCTAAGATAATTAATTTATAAATATTATATAGATAGTCTGGAATTGTTGGCAATGTAATTAATTGTGTACTTTTACATTAATTTATATGGATGTATGTATAATGATATCTTGATCATATTTGCAACTGTGAGATATTACAGCTCATGAATATGTCTTGCTACATATTACAGGTGTCAGGAGGAGAAGATGAAATCCAGCAGCTGCAAAAGGCATTACTAGATTATTTGGATGAAAACACAGAGACTGATGCCTCGTTACTGGTAAATTTCATTTTTGGATATATTAGGTCTATATAAGTGTTCTTCATCAAGAGGATGGTTTATTCTCCAGAGTTCTGGGACAGACATACTTATGTCTTGGTTGCACCTTTGCTCTCTAATCCCAGATCTGTTCATAGCATGCATTATTCTAAAATAGTGGAAATCTTAGTAGCTTCATTCTACAGCATTTCACTCAAAATGTTTATAATAGTCCTGACCTGATGATACCTAAATTTTAGTCGGAGCATACAGTTTTAATTGATATTTGATGAATTCAGACTGTTTCTTTCATAAATGCCATACTCTCAGCCACAGTAGATATTCACTTACACTATTTTATCTACTGTAATCCTGTGATTTTTGTCAGTGGTATTATTTGTATTAGACTAACGTATTCTCCATTCAAGTCTCAAATGATGAGTAGCATTGAACTCATTTGCCTGGCCCCAGTTTAATTTCTTCACAGTTTGAAAAGGAACTATTAATAATCACCTTTTTTATGCCTATCTTTTTGAATTTCTCCAGTTTTCTCGGAAATTTTATATAGCTCAGTGGTTCCGTGACACAACTATGGAGACAGAGAAAGCAATGAAATCTCAGAAGGATGAGGATTCCTCTGAAGGAACTCATCATGCAAAAGAAGTTGAGACAACAGGACAAATAATGCACAGAGCAGAAGGTCGCAAAAAATTTCTTCGCAGTATCATTAAAACTGCACCTTCTCAGTTCAGTACATTGAAGTAAGTTTTGGTAATTGTGGGTTTTGTTTACTTTCTCATTTGACATGTAGGAATTTTTCTTTGTTTTTAAATAAATAACTACCCAGTATTGTGTTAATTTTGTTACAGGATGAATTCTGATACTGTGGACTATGAAGATGCTTGCTTGATTGTTCGCTACTTGGCCTCTATGAGGCCGTTTGCCCAGAGCTTCGATATTTATTTGACACAGGTAAACTGTGCCAGAAGTCTTAGTGCTGTGAAATACAGTTGGTTTCCTGGTTCCAAACACTTATGGGGTAGTGTGCAATATCTGTTCATTGTTGAGCACAGGTATTTAATAGGCCATGATAACGCCACATGTTTTCATGTTATGTATTGATAGCATATGTGATTTTTTTCCTGCATGTATATTACACATACCATACTACTGTACATATATTGTTTTATTTGTTCATATTTAGAAATCCATCAATAACATGGGCTAAAAAGAGAACTACAAAATGTTGAAACGTTTTCACAGATTTTTAACTTTCTAAAATGCATGCCTGATTGGGAACATAACCTCATAAAACATGTCTTCACAGATCATTCATATAAATGTATAAATTCTAAATTGGACATGCAAACCAGATCAGTCATTTGCCTGCAGTGCATGATGCTGTCATGCTGATAGTCATGGTTTGACCAAATGACATTAATGTTCCTTCTTTCTTCCTGGGAGGGGAGCACTAACATATTGACATAGTGATACATTTGAGCTCCAGGTAAATGCTATGGGTCATATTACTTTCTTTGATCCATTTACAGGGATATCTCAAAGTTAGGGTGTACAAATCATACTCCCCTGTTTAGAGGATATAAAAGCCACATGCAGACGGGAAAAACAGAATAAAAATAAAGGGATGGGCCCCATATGATCAGTTTTTGGGTTATGGCTTGTACTAGGGAGGGAGAACCCGGCTTCTAGTGTTGGTGCAGGAAAATCATCATTCACATGTATCCCCTCATTTTTTAAACATTTGTTCACTTTTTGGTAGTTTATTTTTCTCATTTTAGTTTGACTTCTGCATGTTGTCCCATTGTATTTTTGCTTGCATTGAACACTGCTTGCTACTTTCCAAAAGCGATTAAAATGTCATTTTTGTTTTCTTATTAGATTCTGCGTGTGCTTGGTGAAAATGCGATTGCTGTTCGAACAAAAGCCATGAAGTGTTTGTCTGAGGTTGTTGCTGTAGACCCCAGCATTCTAGCCAGGGTAAAAAAGGAAAATGTCTGTAATGTACATACATTCTTCTGTTTACATTTAAAAGAAATTCTATTTTTCCATACTCTGCATTTTTGTTCTCCTTCAGTTGGATATGCAACGAGGTGTTCATGGACGATTAATGGATAACTCCACTAGTGTACGAGAAGCAGCTGTGGAGTTGCTTGGCCGGTTTGTGCTCTGTCGACCTCAGCTTGCTGAGCAGTATTATGACATGTTAATTGAGCGAATACTGGTATGGTAATTTTTAAAATCACTTTGATATTTGTAAACACATTTTAACTGGGTTGATATCTCTATTATGCTAAATAATATCCCAGGCCCTAAAGTAAATGAACTTGTATAGCTTTGAGGGGGAATCAAACCTAAACATTCTGCCCATCAGGTTAACTGTTTGAACTGAAACAATTGCTTTTGATGAGTAACTGGTGGGTCAGAAGCTAAACATAAATACCTTCAAAGGTAAAAATCATGGCTCATGAAAGATTTTTTTTTCATCTACACATAGCAACGTATAGGTAAAATGAAGGATTGTATCCCTTTTTTTTGAAGCATAACATAAGGCCAGCGTTGGAGGAAGGCCACTGCATTGATGCGGAGAATCCTAATCTACGGAATACATGTCTACAGATTTACTCTATTTCATATTAATAATTGAATATAGCTTGTTCTAGTTACAATAAAAATACATTAGTGCCTTCACTTTTTTCTAATTTGTGGCATTGTTAAAACATTTTCTGATGTTTGAGTGATTATTCTCTATATGTGTTTACGCTGTTAGGATAGATCACACTCATGTTAAGAAAGCTTTAGTATTTTGTATGTCAAGATATTTTGATTAACACGTCCATGTAGAAGGCTTTAGGAGTGTGAATATGTCTAATACCTGTAAATATATATAGAAATATTCAGTATGACCATGTATCATTGTTTAAGGAACTGCTGAGATATTAAATCTAAAAGTCTGTCAAACCAAGAGTGATGTGAAAGTACACTCATTATTTCAAAATATATTTGAAATACAGGTTTCTATTCCGGCTTCCTGTAAACCTCATTGCACAAGGATTAAGTAAGATACCGGAATAGTGATTTTTTTAAAATTAGCATTGTGTAGGCAGTGCCAAATTTCAAAATAAATTATTTCAAAATAAGGTGTGTAATTTGTAGAGCTCAAATTACGTAGCTTATTTTGAGGTACACGCTACTGTACAGACATAACCTAAGACATACAGGACCTGTATAGTACAGGTGGTTGTTATTGGTATCATTACAATGCCCAAGGGGTAAGTCTACACAGCAGTGTTATTTCAGAATAACTGACGTTATTCCGAAATAACATAGTCCGCGTCTACACTACAAGCAGTTATTTCAACATAATGTCAAAATAATGTCAAGCTGGAAGACTTCTTACTCCAACTCCTGTAACCCTCATTTTACGAGGAGTAAGGGAAGTTGGAGGAAGAGTGCTCTTTCTCGGTCTTCCTGCTGTTTAGACAGCACTAAAAACCCAAAATAAGCTATTTCAACTTAAGGTACACAATTTAGTCCTGCTGTGCAGACGTGTCCTAGGAGTCCTAGTTATGGACCAAGATCCCATTTTGCCAAGCACTCTATAGACTTTTAATAGAAAAAATAATCTTTGTCCTCCTTGCAGTCTAAGTACAAGGAAAGAGATGATAGGTGGATACAGACACACTGAGGAGGGATTACAAGGAAAACAATGAGACAGAATTGGTCAGCATGCACCTGAGCATGAATTTGTTGGAAGAGTCTCTGGAGTTCAAGTGCACTTATGAAAAAAATTGTTACATTGTTGTAGCTCAAGCTTTGAATGATATTCAGGTTTACTCCCATTTATAGTAGATCATATTGCAGGTCACAAAAAGACATGGGTAAAATTGGTAGTGTCCAAAGCTGGGCAATAAATAGTTGCCACCTTCGGAACAAGTGGAGATTTTGAGGGAGGGGAAATACTCTTGCTGTTCTTGCTTTTTGAATATTAAGGATGGAAGAATCCGGTGAGATTCTCTTGATTGCAAATCTGAGTAACAAAAGGTGGGAAAACTCCATCAGTTAGGATTAGATATACTTCTGCCATTTCTTCCCAATCAATATCTTTGTCTTTTCTGATAGTTTTAGCAAGCTAGAGCACAAGCTGATTTCTCACCTAAACAATTAAAGAATTGCCGTTTGAATCTGATAACAGAGAGATTTAGAACTTGGAGTGATATTTGGATCTACAAATAGAAACCCTCCTCATCTCACTGTCACCATTAGATTGCCTCATATGCATGTTTAATATGAGAGCTAACAAAAAAGAGAGCCTGCTATACCCTACTTGGAACAGAAGAATGTGAACTTGATAATTTAAAATAGTGAACTGTCAAATGTGGATTTAGTTAATATCATTTGTTGCTATAACTTGAGGCATTAAAAGTATGTTATAATGTATCCAGGAAATAATAATAAATGTAATTTACAGTGAAATAGTCCAATGGCCTATTCACCATACTCCTAAACACATGCCTATTGCAACCTGTGATATACCTCTCCCTGTGCACTAAACACCCTAATAACAGCTGTGTGGGTGAAACCAGGCAGTTGCTATACTCTTGAATGACCTTGCACAGGAAAAAATTAGAAAATAAGAACACCCTACCATCTGTGGGTGAACACTTTTCACAATGCAGAAGGCTCCTTTGTCAGTCCTCAAATTCAAAGGTAACCTGCACAATGCTTTCAAAAAACAAGCCTGGGAGCTTAATTTCATAACTGTGCTAGACACTAAAAAAATTACTGAACAGACTTCTTAGACAGATATCTCATTAACCCACCCACTTTTTGTCCTATAACTGCAGAGGTGTTTTCAGGCCAGCACTACCTTGGATGGTCCCTTAGAATATGTGTAACTACTTATACTAAAACAATCTGTTCCATCTTGCATTTAGCTGTGATTGTTGGAGTACCTTTCCTAGACCTGAAGAAAAAGCTCTAGTGTTGCTCAAAAGCTTTGCTCATTCACTAACGGAAGTCGGTTCAATAAAAGATATTACCTCACCCAGTTTGTGCCTCTCATGAAGAGAGATTAAAAAGACTTGGACTTTTCAGCTTAGAAAAGAGGAGACAAAGGGGGGGGGGATTTGATACAGGTCTATAAAATCATGACTGGTATGGAAATAGTGAATAAGGAAAAATTATTTACTTATTCCCCCAATATAAGAATATGGGATCATCAAATGAAATTAATAGGCAGCAGGTTTAACAAACAAAAGGAAGTTTTTCTTCACTCAGAGCATAGTCAACCTGTGGAACTCCTTGCCAGAGGATTCAGTGAAGGCTAGAACTTTAACAGGGTTCAAAAAAGAGCTAGATTGATTCATAGAGGTTAGGTCCATCAATGGCTATTAGCCAGGATGGGTAGGAATGGTATCCCTGGCCTATGTTTCTCTGGAAGTGGGTAATAGGGGAGGGATCACATGAGGATTACCCGTTGTGATCCCTCCCTCTGGGATATTTGGCATTGGCCACTGTCAGCTGACGGGATACTGGGCTAAATGGATCTTTGGTCTGACCCAGTAGGGCCATTCTTATGTAGAATATCTGCATTTTGATTGTCAGGTTGTTGATTACCAAGCAAGTCTCCTAGAAAGGAAGGTAGTGTAATCTCTGTCTAGTTAATATGCAGAGTTATCAGGTTCTGAAGGGATTTTAGACCAATCCTTAATGCCCAAAAGAATGCAGAGTCTTGCGGGAGAGGATATATAATGGGTTACTACTGCAGTATTCACAGGATTTCCAGGACCTACAGAATCTCTGGAATGAAGTATAATATTACCAAATAGTAATGCTGTCTTTCATATAGGTGCATTTATAATCTCTTAGTTACTTTTTTAACATATTTTGCACGTCAACCTTGATAATTTTTAATTGCTATTACTACACAAAATACTTAAATTCATTATTACTTCTGATTTTTTTCAAGAGTATTTTGTTTTCTCTCACCAGGATACTGGTATCAGTGTAAGAAAAAGGGTTATAAAGATTCTTAGGGATATCTGCATTGAACAGCCAACATTTCCCAAAATTACAGAGATGTGTGTGAAAATGATTCGCAGAGTCAATGATGAAGAGGGCATTAAGGTAGAGTAAAATATTTCTTTTAAGCTTTTAGTTTATTTTAGTTGTTTATTTCTTACAATGAAAGTCTTACATGTTTCCTTACAAGAAAGTCAGAGTTTCTTTAGTATATGAATGATTTTTACTAATTTTTACATTTGTAAAATAAATGTGAATTTAAAAAAGACAATCTTATTGATAGTACCCTGCCAGACATGTTTTTATTGTGTACTCCATTTTTGTGGTTTAAAAAAATATGGGAGCTTAACAATAAAATACATATCTTTAGATTTATTTTTTATTTTCCACTTGTAAATTATCTCCACTCTTTTTCTAATTGCTTACTGACATAAATAAACATTCCCAACTTGGGAAAGGTTGCAAGTGCTTTGGAGGATAAGATCAAAATTCAAAATGATCTGGAGAAATCATCTGAACTAAACATTATGAAATTTAATAAGAACATATATAAATTACTACACTAAGAAAGGAGCAGTAAATTGCACACATACAAAATGGGAAATGACTACCTAGAGAAGAATACTGCAGAAAAGGATCTTGGGATTATTGTGGATCACAAGCTAAATAAATCAAGAGTAATATCACTGTTGGGGCAAAAAAAGCCCACATTACTCTGAGATGTGTTAGTAGGACTGTTGTAACAAGACATAAGAAGTAATTCTTCCACTCTACCCTGTGCTGTTAAGGCCTCAGCTGAAGTATTATGTCCGGTTCTGGACACCATGTTTCAAGAGGTAAACAAATTGAAGAAAGTCCAGAGTAGAGCAACAAAAAAGTTTACAATTTTCAAGAACATTAAAAGGTTACAATGAGGAGGTTAAAAAATTATTAACTTCTGAGGATAGGACAAGAAGCAATGGTCTTAAATTTCAGCAAGGAAGCTTTAGGTTAGACATTAGGAAAAACTTCCAAATTCTCGAGGTATTTAAGCACTAGAACAAATTTATGAAATTTAGGAAATTTATGTATGGAATCTCCATCATTGGAGGTTTTTAAGAATTAGGTAGATAAACACCTCTCAGGAATGGTATAGTTATTATATAGTTCTTCCTTGAGTGCAGGGGACTGCACTAGCTGACCTATTGAGGTCCCTTCCAGTACTACTTCAATTACTGCATTAAAAGTGATCAAGAATAGTTAACTGACCAACTTGATGAGGTTACTGACTCTGCGTATATGGGGAAGGTGACGGACATGATATACCTTGACTTTAGCAAAGCTTTTGATATGGTCTCCCACAGTATTCTTGCCAGCAAGTTAAAGTAGAATGGATTGGATAATGGACTGTAAAGTAGATAGAAAGCTGGCTAGATCATCAGGCTCAGTGAGTAGTGATCAACGGCTCGATGTCGCATTGGCAGTCAGTATTAAACAGAGTGCCCCAAGGGTCAGTTCTGGGGTCAGTTGTGTTCAACATATTTATTTATGACTTGGATGAGGAGATGGATTGCACACTCAGCAAGTTTGCAGATGACACTAACCTGGGGCGAGGTAGATACAGTGGAGAGTAGGGGTGGGTTCCAGAGTGACCTAGACAAATTGGAGGATTAGGTCAAAAGAAATCTGTTGAGGTTTAACAAGGACAAGTGCAAAGTCCTGCACTTGGGACGGAAGAATCGCAAGCACAACTACAGGCTGGGGACCAACAGCACTTCTGCAGAAGATGACCTTGGGATTACAGTGGATGAGAAGCTGTATATGAGTCAACAGTGTGCCCTTGTAACCAAGAAGGCTAACTACATATTGGGGTGCATTAGTAGGAGCATTGTCAGCAGATCTAGGGAAGTGATTCTTCTTCTTCAAGGAGTGTCCCTGTGAGTGATCCAACTTTGGTGGTTTTGGTGCTTCTGCGCCTTTAGTCAGAGATTTAAGACAGCAGTGCCCTCTATCGGCTGCTCACGTGGGCAGCCAGCATGCACCAAGTATATTGATGCTACCACCAACTGCACCCTCTGTGCAGGATAAGCAGTCAGCACTGCTAGCACAGACCAAGCATTCGACCATGCAGGGTCATACTAAGCAGTCAGTACGCTGGTGCAGAGCAAGAGGTCAGCTCAGTCAATGAAACCCCTGCCACAGACTTTATCAACACCGACATTGACACCTAATGTCCCAGTACCGCAGCAATTCACCATAGCCGCAGATCTCATAATCACTCAGTGCTGTGAACTCCATTGTTCGGTTCTGATGGTACACCAAATACCTCTCGCTTTTGTCTTCCTGTGACCCCATCAGGATTGGCACTATCTAGTGACAGAGGATGACTCTATCAGTGTTCACACACCAAGACACTCATCACTGAAACCGATGCAGCATCCTACTCAGTGGCAACCACCACAATGGCGATTGCCACCAATACCTCCCCTTTTTAACTGGCCATACTAGGACCCTGGGGCCACATATAGGATACAGCAGAGAACCCCTGCTTCCAGGTCCCGAATGTCTCCCTCCCCCTCAACCACACTCTC